GGGTGGGCGTCGGGCCTGCAGTCTGGCCAATGCGGCGTCCCCTCTTGCTGTGTTCCCAGCATGGCCAGGCAGCTGGTGGGCTTGATGTGAGGCAGGAGCCTCTTTCCTTCCCTGAGGAGGAGGAAGGTCTCCAGGAGGGGTTAAAGCACTCCTGGTGGCAGTCCCTCCCTGGGGGGCGGTGCAGCATTGACCCTTGCGTCCCCCCCAGGTGTTGGGATGGGGCTCAGGGATGGGGCTGTGGCCGTGATGGGTCAAACAGTCTCAGATCCCTGCTCTCCCCTCTGCTCTGCCCAGTCTCTCCCCCTGCTCTACAGCCCCTTTAACGAGGTGGTGGGCGGGATGACCTTCAGCAAACTCATAGAGGTCCTGCAGGAGATGACCAGGCCTCTACCCGAGACTCCTGAGCTCCCCCTTGCCATGGCCTTGAAGAACCAGGTAGGTGGCCCCAAGGAGGGCAGAGCTGTGCGGCATCTCCTGGGTGCCACCACCGCCAGCCGTGACGCTCCTCCTGGTGCTTCCCCGCAGTTTGGGATCTCCTTGCTCTACTCCCTGCTGAGCCACGGCGAGAGGCTGCTGTCCTCCGACACGCCGCTGGAGCCACGCGGCGGGGACTTCGAGACGTGGTGAGGGGCCGTGCAAATGACGGGGTTGGGGTTTGCTAGCCGGTGGGGCGCTCAACCCCCTGCATTGATGCCCCCAGGACAGACACAGTGTTCCTGGTCGCCCGGGAGCTGTCACAAGTGCCCAAGGCCTCGCTGGTGGAGCCTCTCTTCTTGCCCAGCAACCTTCTCTCTCTCTTCTGCCGCTACCTGGACAAGCAGACCGTCCACCACCTGGAAGCCAAGATGGAGTGAGTACTGCATGGCATGGCTCCCTGCTTCTGCCAGGGATCCCTCAGATGCAGCAGACGGCATCGGGGGCTCACTGCTTCTGTCCCCCTGGGGACCTCGTTGGACACAAGTCTCCAAACCTCCACTGGGCTGAGCTGATCCTTGTGGCTTTGCTCCTGTTCTTAGCTGTCCTGGGACCGTGCTGGCTGGCGCTGGGTTTTGCGTTTGCATCAGGTTCACCACACCTTGATGGCACATCCCTGTGGGATGAATCGAAGTGGGGGGCGAAAAGTTGGGGGGATCCCCCCAGCAATTTAGCCGGCAGCTCTAGGGCACCCTGGGGTGTTTCCCCGCAGGTGCTCCCCGCTGCCGTCGGAGGCTGCCATGCCGTGCTGAGCCCCGCGAGCTGGGGATGGGAGCCGGGGCCAGTGGTGCTGGGAACAGGCAGGGCCTGTGACTTTGAGTTTCGAAGCAAACACTTACCCTGGTGCGGGGCACTCTGGGTGAACCGGGCACTGGCAGGGCCGGCGCTTGAGGGCTGATGCCGACCTGCCCCGGTGCCTGGGAGCACAGCATGGGGAGGCGGGTAACTTATTTTGGCCTCGCACCCAGCAGCAGTGAGCGCCAGATCACGGCGGGTGTCGGGGTGGGGTCTGCAGAGGGGCGCTGGGAGCACCTGGGGGTGAGTGACTCTGTGTACAGCACTTGAAATAAAATAAAAAGGTGATTAATGAGCTCCTCCGGCTCCTATGGGCAGCTTCTGCTGTAAGCACAGGGGTCCTGGAGGCATCGCCTGGGCATGGAGACCTCCGGTCAGGGATGGTGGGGATCCAAATGCGCAGTAAAGGGGAAGGAGAAGCAGGGAAGGATGCGCAGAGGACCCAAAAAGAGGATAAAGGGGGATGGAGGAGAAGGCAACGTGCTCCGAAGGAAGCGGAGGGGATCAGAGGGACCCGTGTGGCTGGGGACAGAGGGGAATTGAGCTCCCAGGGAGAGGAATGGGCTGGAAGAAAAGGGATGTGGTGGGGAAGATGGGGTGAGAGCTTGCCCCGAGGGGAAAGGAAAGATCAGTGCATGCAGGAGGACGCACCTGGGGAGGATATGGGGGATCTTGAAACATACATGGGTGGGTAATAAAGTGCCTCTTCTCTCTGCTGAGCTCTCAGAGGCTAATTAGTCTAAAGGCTTGCAGGCGTGGTCGTGATGAAGTACCTTGAAGCACCTTTTCTTGAGCCACTTTAGCTGACCATGACTACCCTCACTCCTGCATCTAGGGCTGAGGGGGTGCCTAGGTGCAGTGTATGGTCTTACTGTAGAAGTCTTTGCGGCTCCTGCCTGGCTTCCAGGGGTATATGGTGGGATTTCCCCTAACCCTGTGGGACATCTGAGCCTAGGACGCCTGAGCACCTGGATGCCCATCCAGAGGTCTAAACTTAACACCCAAAGCCTGCTGTGTGTTCAAAAGAGGTTTGCACCAGAAAGTTGTCTCATCCTCAGACTGGTGGCTATTGTATCTGCCCGAGCTCCAACCCCATGTAGATGAGAGCAGATGAAACTATTTCTTTAAACTGACATCCTCCAGAGGTCAGACTAATGCAGATGGAGAATGTGCAGAAAATACGGATGTGACTGGTATGGCTGAGGGGCTGGGTGGGATTTATCTCCGTGGCTTACCAAGACAGCTTGCATCTCAGCTTCTGAAACGCACTTCAGAGGAGCAACTGTGATGCCTGAATACAGCTGTGCAGAGACAAGAGACGCCGCAGATGTGATGCAGGGCCTAGGGCGGGCTCCTGCCTTTTGTGCTAGAGGCGAGGTGTAGACTGTCAATCATCTAAAAGGGTGCAAGGTCCAGCTGAAAGGAGCTCTGGATCATTCTGGCAGCTGCTTTTGTCATCCCGATGCCTCTCCTGCTCATCTTGGTTGTCCTACAGCCTCAGTCTTTCCTCTGCCCTCAAAATCAGGTTTGCCAAAAGCAGGTTCAAAGCCTTCTCCACTTGCTCCTCATGCTTCCTTGTTGGAAAGTTCTTGTTTGGGACAGCTATGTTCATCCCTATGCATCCCTAGCCATCCACGGCTACGTCACTTCAAAAGAGTGACACTGGCAGGTTGTCATTGGGGTGAAACCCGTAGTTTTAACCCACGGAGGCAATCTGGGACAATACCTGCATGGTGACCTCCCTGTAAGCAAAAGGAGGGACCTTGCCACTACAAACCCTAGAGGCAATTTCAGACAGAAGGGAACTAGCAGCGGCTCGCTGATTTGTAGGAAGAGAGGAGGACACCAGCGAGTTCTTCAAGATAAGGATAAGCCGTGTTATGTTTTTGGTTTGCAACGGAGCAGAGCGCAGACCTAGCGAGAGCGCTCCTCACCTGAGAGCCAGTGGGGATGGAGGAGGAAAGTGCGACACGGTTGCAATCACGTACAAAACCAAATGCTCCAACGTAGAAGGGTTGGAGGTCTTTACTGGACTTTGCTGCTTCACTGCAAGAAACAGCTGAGACAAAAGAAGGAAAATCCATCTTTTTTGGTTACTCTCCCACAACCGAGGGACCCACACCACGCAGCAGCCCCCTTGGTGCTTCCTGCCAGGAGAAAGAGACCCTCTCCCTGGGGCACCACCCAGTGAATTAATCCAGCTGAGGGGTGTCCAGCAGCTCAGGGACCCCGTCTGCACTGGGATCTTCTCCCTTAACCCTAAAGCTGATGGAAGTCCAGGGTGTCTCACCTGGCTCTGCTTTACCTACTGCCCTGCACGGCTCCTCCTCGTACTGTCCCGAAAGAGCCACCAGCCATGTGGGATGGTGGTGACCCATCACCACGAGTGAGCAGCTGGACCAAGGGGAGTCATTGTCTTAGGGATATGGGACTCATCCTGGGATGTCCTTAGGGTATGGGGCTCATCCTGGGATGTCTTGGCGGGGTATGGGATTCATACTGGGATGCAAGGAAGAGCATTTTGGGCTTGCACGAGACTTATTACCAGCTGTTTCGGGGAGGAATCAAATGTGGGGAGAGGGAAAGTTCAAGGTGGTTTATAGCAGTGTCGTCGGGGTTCTCTTGAGCTCCTCCCAAAAACCCTTGAGCTGAACAGGCGGCCATCCCAGTCAGGGTGCGGAGGGGACGGCAGCTGTCCCTGGTTGAGGTGTTGAGGGGACTGCAGCCATCTTGGTCAGGGCACCGAGGGGGACCATGGCCACCTCGGTTTGAGTACTCAAGGGAGGGTGGCTGTCATGGTAGGAGTGTTGAAGGGACCACAGGCATCTTGGCTGGGGCACGGAGGGTCTGTGGCCATCAAAGGCACCATGGTGTATGGGTTAGGGCATCGAGGGGTTGATGGCCATCTCAGCTGGGGCATTGGGTCTCAGTTGGGTTGCCTCAGTGGAGGTGTTACCATTTTACTCTAACTCCTGAAATGCAGAGAAAAGACTATGTTGAGGAAGGAGACATTGCTTTATTTGATAGTTCGCAGAATCGGACACTCGGGGGAAGTTCCCCAAATCGAGTGTAAGGTTAAGCAGAAGACAGCATATTTATACACTCAAGTTTGCATAATTCATTAGTATACTTCATGTTGACCCTTCTTATCTACTACATTTACATATTGCTAACGTTGCGAAACTATACTAAGCCTGCGCGAGTGGTCATTGCTGGTCGTTTGGGTAGGTGCCCCCTATTCATTCTGAGATATAGTTAACTTCAGGATGCCACTACAGATGTTATCTTTCCAAAGGCTTTGTAAGCATTCTATACATCCTTAATTGATCAAGTCCTTGTGATTGTTATTCTAAGATAAGTTAAAATTCCATCCTTGACCTCGTGAATGCTCTGCACGATAGCTAAAGCTACAACAACTAGAGCATATTTACATAAGGTTATGTTTAAACCCTGCTGGTATCACTCATCCTTTAGACAATCTTTACATCAAATAAA